AATGAAAATTCAAGAAATAAATCAATGAAAATTCAAGAAATAAATCAATGAAAATTCAGTGCCATTCTATGCTGCCTTCATAGAGATTGCCTTTCTCGTTAATGTTTTAAGGACCTGATTCAACAAGAAAAAAATATCTTTGGCACAAAAATAGGAAAAGACCCCTGTCTCAGGATCTATTTTAGGCAGGATTTCAAGATCTTTCTTTGGAAGGGATTTAGACTGTGAACCTGAATGTTTTCTGGTGCAGTGAAATATATGTCCCACCCAGGATTGATTGGAAATGCTCTCACATAACCATGAAGTCCATGGGTGGCTGATGGATGATAGAAATCATTCAGTTCAGAGGGAATGATCACATTAAGATATGCAATTAACTCAGTGTTAATTACATTTATCTTAAATCCAGCTCAGAAAGATTTCTTGCTTCTGAAATAGAGGTTAATCATTCTTAAATTAAGAATTGTGATGTGTAAAGTAGAATACATGGCCCCTTATTCTGGGTGTGAAACAGGAAGCATAATTTTAAATTGCCGTGAATAAATAAATTTGCTCGACTGCACTTTGGAGAAGTGCAAGCGAATGAAAAAGATATGGACAATCTATAAATAGCAGTTAAGAATGGTGGAAGAGCTGCCTTCAATTATTCTTTTAGAAATTCAGCATTTTTATTTGGATAGTAATTTTGAAAAGGCCTTGGATCTCAGGTAGGTGGCATGTAAAACTTTGTATGTACATATGTATAAATAAAGGGTCAAACTTGCAAGCCATAGAGCTGGCATCACAAAGTACCTCACAAAGAGGCCTGTATAATTACTTGAAATCTACAGGCTGAATTATTTTGGAAGTTCTTATTAGGTACTAATAGATATTAATTCCCTAATTCTTGTGTCTAAGATATCGTTTCTCCTATGTTATGCTGGAACATTTCAATTGGCAGAGTTTACATCAGTTTAAAATATTAGCGTACATTTCTTCATTCTAGCAAAATTTTAGTATGTTTTCAGCAGGCATATCCAACCCTTGGCCCAGGGGCCATATTTATTTGTTTGTTTTTTGTTTATAAAATTTATTAGCCACCCATCTTACTATAGGGCAGTGTTTCTCAACCTTGGCAACTTT